TAAATTGTCCGGCTACAAGATTTACGACTTCGCGCGCGCATTATCATCGAAGATTTGTTTGCTCGATGCATCCCTCGCGAATACGAATGTGCAATATAGATTACCTCGAAAGCGTATGTATTTTTTACATAGGTATACATAACACGTAGAAAGAACGACAGGATTTTTAAAAGTCGCACAAAATACACATCAAATCTGACAAATTTGCTTTTACAAATTTATTTATGCCTTATTTAGTATCACGCATGTTTCTCCGCATTTTATTTTTATATCGGAATTACATTCACTTTTGATGTAAAATAAGAGATGAGATCTCAGTTTATAAATCACACTTTTTTCTAGTCATAAATTATGAATTCAGTAGTAGTTACAGATAAGAGGTAATAAACTAAACCATCAAATTTACATTTTCCTAAGTGTTTGGCTAGAGTAGGACATTTATTGCGTGTGTCGGCAACGAAAAGCGATTTTTATGAGACTATATACAACAAAAGAAATCCGAGAAATGTATATATTAGGTGCGCAACTAAGTTCTCGCTATTATTTTGATGGAAATGCCATCAAAATAACAGCGAGAACTTAGTTGCGCACTTAATAACATAGATAAAACTGGCGTTACGTGTCAGGATAGCGTACACAATCGAACGCAATGTTTACGAATCCCATGAGAATTAAAACCCCGACTTTGTCGCTAAATGAATCCTCTTTCGCGGAGATCAATATTTTTCCCGATCTCCGTGAGAGAGCCGAGTGACTTACAGGTACATTGTAGTCGCTGCGGAATGCAATTACATTGTCCGCACGGACGCGAGGAATGCGCCGAGAATAAATACGACTTTTTACAACGTGGAACTGGACCGTAGGCGAGACTGACACGGCCCTTGTTCAAACTTTTCGACGATACCGCGCCGCATGTTTAAACAGGAAGAGATGTTTGTTATTCTTCATCCACCCTCTCTTCTTCGTTCCTCCCACACATCAATTAAATAAAATTCTTAAGGTCATTTATTCATCCTGCATTTACATTGTTTTTTTTTCTTTTATTTTTACATTTATCCTTGTCATATTATATTTATTTGTACGATAAAATTATTAAGTTTCACTTTTTTTTGTTCGATCATAAATCGCTTTTTTTTCCTTTGTCCTCTGATAAATTAATCGACGGTTATTTTTATTTTACAACGACACAGACTGTACGAATGTTTACGCGTCTGTAATAATTCATCGTGTAGGTTAAAAATATTATCGCGTTGCGCGCGATGGTATCTGAAGCACTCAGCCATCGTGATTTTTGCCGGGCACTTAGAAACTTCTCTTGCTTCACCGGGCGCGAGATGCGGATCCTCGGTCCTTCTGTACTCGTCTTGACCTTTCACCGGCGAAATCATGAAACAATGCCGGCGCTCGCACGGGAACAATGCGCGCGCGGATATTCCTAGGTCGCGGCTGACCTCCGATATACACGTAAGACCCGTCGCTTGGATTCCTGCGAAGGCCCCGCGCGAGTAAATGCATCGGTCCCGGGCGAACACAGGCACGCGAATAATGCAGATAAAGGGAAAATTTAGCGTATATACCATATAGCGCTGCATACAATCTCCGAAGCAGCCTCAATCTCTCTGTCGGCGCAACGATCTTTGCGAGATATGCCAGCATCATGAAAAGAGCATCGATCTCCAGTATATATCAATACTTTTCTTCAAAGAAAAGTATTGTGACTTCAATCTCTAATGCTTGTTTCCACCAATGTAGATTAATTTTCTCGGTTCGACCTTACTCTTCATCTTTTTCCAATTTTTAGAACTAGAAAAGGACGAAGAGTAAGTTGAACCGAGATTAAAGTTAATCTCTACGTTGGTGGAAATGGGCATAAGTGACTTTAAATCTTAAACGAAGTTTCAAGGGTATAAAATTTTAATGACATTTTATAGTCACTAAAATTTTACACTCGGGAAAAGTTTCTCCTTCGTTCCTTTTTCACAGGAAACAAACGGTAGCTAAGTGAAAATAAAATCGCGAGGCGTCGAGATGGCGCCAATAAAGTTGCCCGTGGTTAATCGTCGAACGACGTTCTGCACGATACGTACGTCCCACGTTCACTCACACCGTACGTGATCGAGTTAAACGCGGTCCAAAAGCCCGATGTAACTTGAGTCGCGTTGAAGACATTTCGTGATCCGTATCCGGCGTGAAAAACCTGAAGAAGGCGGGATATATCCTTGTCTTCGTGAGAGCGCGCCATCACGAAGGTCGTCCCGCTCGTTCGCAAGGTCGGTTATTCATCCGCGCCCGTTGCACAAGGATTTCGTTAAATGCGCTTTATATTCCCCGCCAGTCATCGTCGTCATCATCCTCTATCGTAATGCTCGGAGAAATACCGGAATGGATGACTGTTTCGGGAATTTTACTACGTTAAACCCGCTACCAGTTCCTCATCCTCGACCTTTTGATTTTCCATCTCGTACAGGGTCATCATATCTGATTTATAAGAAAAGAGTGTACATTTTTTAAAAAAGGATGAGAGGAGAAAAAGGGATATATTTCTTTTATTTTTAAATGTAGATATTTAATAAAAAATAAAATTTCTAGAACAAATAATTTTTATTGACAATTCTTTTTAATATAGTTTTATAAATATGAAATTTTAATTAATGATCAAAAGTTTTACGACGTCAAAAAAAAAATACATGTACTCTTGAAAGGGTATAGCTGATAATCATAAGATTATTATCTCGTAGGATAATTTCGCAAGAGAGAGCCATCTATATCTTTCGATGACTGTCGACTGTTTCCAGAATTTCTCTCTTTCTTCCTCCTCCCCCCCTCTCCTTTCCTGCCTCCCACGGTTTCCTCGAATCAATTTTAACAAATAATCTGTCGTTATATATTTAAAATACATAAAAAACAAAAAATTACAGTTAATAAAGTTATAGTGCCAAAAATGACCGTGTAAAATTGTTCTTACAATTTGTCATTAAATTATTGGTTATTCCATCCTGTGAGCAACACAGAACGTTTGATTCACTCACTCGCTTATTCATTACATTTCTTCCGAGATATTTCGAGATATTTATAAAATTTATCATATGTTGCAAAATGACCTTCCATATTTCTTTATTGATGTAATTTTGAGATTTTGTATCATCTTTTTCCAAAAATTATTAATTTCGATATTAAAATATTCTTGTTAATTGAGGTTTTAAGATACAATTCAATTAGGATTTAAAGAATCATGTATGAATGATAAAAAGCTGAAATGGTCGTTAAGGGCACGTGAACTTCCAGAATGTAGAGGTTTTATAGCGAGAACGTCGCCTGTCTGTGACCGACAGTTTACTCGTGACCTTCAGTTTACGGTAATGAGCATGTACTATACGACTAATTAACGTGCTTTAATACGCCATTCTTTTTGCAAGCTCGTAAAACCAACAGTGAATATCCGCAAATCCGGGACGTAAGCGTAACGTACGAAGGCTTGCATTAATATTTATGAATTGTTCCGTGACCATTAATTATCATCACGTTTTCTCCAACTGAGCTGACGACAGACAGACGTTCAATTGTGAAAGAGTATAAATGTCTTTTCGACCAATAATCATACTTTTTTATAATTCTGTAATGACAGCGACAATTTTGAAGTTTTGTGTCGTATAGAAAAAAATTAATTATTAGCGTTAGTATAGAAAGGATGATTATAAAATGATGGAAATATGCATGATGGCAATTAATTCTGCTAAAAAAAGTTTGCATAAGTAATTATCTCAATAATTCAGTGTACCTTAGTCATTGAATAATCAACAATATATGTATAATTATTAAGATATTTGTCAATAACATTAAAAGAAAATCGCATATTTAAAAAAAGAGATAATAGTAGAACTTTTAGTTCTCAAAAAGATTTTTTTATATTGGCTATGGTTAATAAGATATTCATGATTAAATTTAATATCTGTTACCGAAAAGCTATGAATTAGGTCATTGACAGTTTATCAAATATAGTTTTATTTTATTTATTTAAATTTAACGAAATCGTTCAGCGGCTTAAAAAACTATTAAGTTAGAAAAGGATATTTCTTGAAAAAGATCACTTTTTATCGCGCGCCGAACAGTGCAATCAATAATAATATAGAACTCATATCTTCTTATTAATTTAGTCATTGAGATATTTGTCTTATTAAGCGATTGAATTCAACGTCCCAGAAAGATATTTTTTAATGTGGTCCGCAGTCTTGTCACTGTTATTTTGTATTTTAAAAAAATAGCAGATTTAAGAATCCCGCCAAAGAAGCGACTCAAAAAATTCCTCTAGGAAAAACTCATTCTTAATCTCTAATAAAGATATATATATCCTATTAAGATATATTGTTGGAAACCCCTCGAATCTCTCAATAATATATGTACATTCTCCTGCTCAATTCGTTGTTTCCAGGTATTCGAAATATTAACATAATCCGAGATCAGAGTCAATCAGGATGAAATCGAGATGAAATCGAAAAGAGTAAAGACTCTATAACAGTGTTTGATCACGAACAATTTTATCCAAACAAGATTAAGAAACAAGTATATAACTTACGTTATCTCGCTTATTTTAACTCAAATACCAAAGTTAACAAAAACAACCTGACGGATTAAGTTCGTAGCCAGATCTCGTAGCCAGATTCTGATTGTGAGAATCTCTAGGGTCCGATTCTACCGATGTAAGACCAACTTAATTTAATCTCTCTCGGTTAACTTTACTAATTATCTTTTTCTAATTCTTAGACTAAAGAGTAAATTAAACCGAGATTAAAGTTAATCTTACATTAATGGAACCGGGTCTAGGAGGGAGCGACGGGTCTGACGGCACAGCACGACGCGGCGTAGCGTAGAGATTGAGAATTGCACGTTAGAGAGAGGGTAGAGCATGCCCCCTCGCGAAGGAAGGAAGAGGGGGACGCTGATAGAGGCGATCGGCTCTCTCAGATCAGCTGTGAGAGCGGCGTGGCGCCGTGTGCCGCGGCTCTGACCCGCTGTCAGTTGCCCGAGCCCTGTGCTACGGTTAGGACCGCGTATAATCGTCACCTTTTACACGACGACGCGTCGAACTAGCCACGGGCCATCGCGAACCGATTCGCGTTGATCCTCGACGGAAAGCGTCCTTCGCGTCCTCGTTACGAGATCGGCGATCGGGTGAGCGATCGACGGTAATCGGCATCCGAGAGCGGCGAAAGGCCAGCTGCGTGCGGGGAGCAGCGATTAAGAGCGAATGTGACCAACCGTAATCCGACCTCCGAGAGAAATAGCTTTGGCTTTTGTCATTAAATCGTCGATTATCACGGGCTATCGGCAAATTTCCGAACGAGCGTGTACCTCTCGTTGGGAGTCGCGAGTCGCGGAGAAGGGCAGCTCGATCGATCTAAGGGCGGGCGTGATTGGTAATTCTCTTTTCCTTTTTTTTTTCTCTCCCTTCCTCTTTTGTATGACGTGGAGAAGTGATCATCGGGCTTCGATTTCCGAAGAGTCGTCCCTCCGCGGGTGGCGCGAACCTGAGAAGCTGTGAGCTGACGACGCGTCCAGGATGGTCTGGTAGAGGAGAACGGGCAACCCCCTCGTTCGAGAGCGCGAGAAATGGCGTGCGGCATATCGGTCGACGCGGCCGCCACGAGCACGGTGCTTCTCCTGCTGGTAAGCCTCCGCGTATTGCTATTTTACGAGCGATCGGACCCCGAGAGGTCGATAACGCGCGACTACGAGGGCGTAGTCGATGGATCCGGTGGTAGATGAGAATTTCTTGCCATCGTCTGTTGTATGAACGTCTATTGCTATTTAAAGTATCTCGATTTTACGAGGCTCTGCGGTCGGACACGAAAACGTTTCGTGGAAATTAATGGATACGAAATGTTCTAGCGTGATCTCATCGAGCCCCTGTAAAAAAAATACCGAGATTTATAATGATAAACATAATGCACACGGTACATAATGAAATAATTACACGCCTGTTATTTTATGGCAAGCAATAAGATCGGTAATATCGATTGGCAAACCCGGCTTTCGCGAAAAACTCAACGCGTGTACCTTCGTATGCAGAGTGGCATTCACAGACGGCGCGTGCAACATGTCGACTTGTGTACGTGGCTGGAGTCAAGGATAACGTCGTTATCTAGCCCGTGCCCGCTATACTTACATCGAGGATATGTGTAGATACACAATAAACGTCGGCGTCGCGGGCGAATGCTACTTTCGTTATGCAAGCGCGGAATGTTAACTTATCGCGGTTCCTGCGAGCCACTTTTTCTTACGTAATGCGATGTAAGATGAGACCAACGCAAAAATTTCGTGAGTTGTACATTTTAGGCAAGAAAGAGAAAAAGAGAAAGAGAGAGATAGAGAGAGAATTTACATAAGCAATCGGAATGTGCCAAATTTGAATTAAATTGTATAAATAAATAAATCTCACGAATGAATAAATTGGTTGTCGCTTATAATTAACTAATTTGTAAGTCATATTAGATAATTTATGAATAAGAAAAGAGATATCGGAAATTGATATTACAAATAATTATTTATACAAACGCATATATACATATTTTTTATACGTATTAGATTTATATAAATCTCCAGCTATTTTACAGTTTTCGAGATTCAAGGCATATTAATAAAATAGACATAGATTGAATTGGTCAAGAAAGACCATGTTTCTTCACTGACATTGAAAGAATTCATAAAATGAAGATCGTCTGTAGAACAAATATGTACACATGTCATGATTCATGCAAGTACCATGTTAATTTTCTGTGCGCCATACACATAATCATTAGCAGCTCGTAAATAATTAGCGATACTACCGATGTCTCTTGAAATTAATTTCAAAGAGGTAGTTGCATTAGTAAAGCCTCCCACTGGCATTAATAATATATTAAGCTGCATCAAAGTGATATAACTTAAATGAAATTTTCTGTTTACGAAATCGATTGCTCCTAAGCGCGAACATTAAATTAACATGTTCATATAGATTTTCTTTGAAATAAATTAAAATATATTTTTTAAATCAATATCAAATTTTTAGACGGATGAATTTTGCAATAATATGCAAAATTTAGCTTCTTTGCATATTTAATTAAGATTGAAAATTTGCTTGGAAAGTTAAAGGTCCTATCACAAATTACGTGTTTGCGCACGGTTGAACTAAAGCGAGAAATATTTCGCATAAGTGTTAATTATCAACCAGTAGGTATACTTCGAGGCAACACTCAACGATTCAATTAATTAAAATTCACGTATGACAATTACGGACCTTTACTTACGGACCGCCGCACCGCGCCGATTGCAAAGTGATCCGGTTCTTGGCAACTGGTTCGTTCGCGCCAATATTTTTTACGAGGTATGGAAGCATTTGAACGCACAACTTCACGATGTACCTGGAACGCACGCCGTGTGTAACTGTCATTTTTCTCAGTAACTGCCTGTCGTTGAAAAATCCTGTACGATAAAATGGAATTTATAAATGCCTAAAGTACAATTCAGATGTGTGTGTGTGCTCGTAACATTTAAACATAAAATAAATAATTGACTAAATTTGTATCGTGATTTGAAGACGGACGTGACATACATCATGTTTGAAATTGAAAATATGTCATAATATAATATGTAGAAATTGTTAGAAAATCGATTTAATTAACCTGTAATTGAAATATTTGGATTTCGATAACCCGAAGATTTTTCTAATTTTTAAATAGAAAGAATTTGGAATAATTTTATGTTTCACAATCTTACTTTTCACAGTTTTGAATATAAAAAGTTTCCTTAAAAAATGAAGTAAATCAAAATTGTGTACATCAATGCCTACTATTGTCTGCCCAAGTAATGCCCAAATTTTATACGCTAATAGCCTAATAAAACCTACTAATTAATGCTCCAAATTTGTACATCGTAGTGTCCTCAGTGATTTACCCTTTGAGTGAAAATAATAACACAAAAACTTTCGTGAATTTCAAGAAACCATTGTTTTTTTAACAAAAATATGTGTTACGGGTTAAGAAATTTATTTATGAACGGAGAATTTAATGGTTAGTTTCAAGAATGTATAGACAATTAAGGTATACTTTTAAAATACTTTGAAGCGGAGTTTAAAATTAATTTGTAACGGTTAAAAAAAGATTATAAAACTATATTCGAAAAAATAAAAATTGTTTTAGAATCAGGATAAATTTTTTTATATAAAATATAATTTTAATATAAAATCTAGAAGCTGGCTTTATATATATAGCTTTCATTTGTGACGAATATTTTGATTCTCTACATATTTTTCACATCCGACTTTCATTCCAGGCATGATGTGTTATGTAGGTGAATGTATTAAAATTAAAAATTCAAGGTGCAGTAATTTATCTGTAAATATATGAAAACCACGTTGTAGGAGAAACTTGTAAGAGAATTATTCGGTCAAAGCAAATAGCATTCAATTAAAAAAAAGTTCTTATGAACAGTCAGTTGTCTCGTCTGTCACGATTATATACACGATTATATACATAAATCCTAGTATAAAGTGCACAAATATACGCCACGATGCGATGGTACAACATTGTGTAAGAAACACACAGTGCGATCCTCGGCGTACAAAATCCTTTAGCTTGGATCTCGTTTCAACATAAATACATTTTTCGAAGCCGATTTGCGTAATGATCATTAGTCCGGAATCTTTATGATAGTTAATAAGAAAAATACCTTGTAACATTTGCAAAAATTACTTGGTGTCCTAAACAAGCGATTACATTAAATCCGACATTCTCCCGCTGATGGATTCCGTAATTCAGCATTTTTTTCCGCAAACTCCTTCAGTAATTGCTGATATTACAGCGGATATATGGATTAACAATGTTGAAACAATTTTGAATCTTATCTTCCACGCATTCCACTAATTAAGATGCCCCATAGAAACACTAACAATACGAATGAAACTGTACTGACGACACCACGGGATGTCCGAGTCCATTTCTTTAATTCGTAACGTAGTCTCACATGTAGTCTCTTTTAATTAACACACCCGCGATTTGTTAGAAAGGCCCAAAGTAATTGGATAATGAGAGTTTAAGAATTAAGCCTTGTAAGACACGCGGATTTAACCAGCATCGGAAGTGACGAAAATCAATGCAGTAGCGTCTTTCGTTTAATTTAATATACGTACACCGGTCAGCAAAAATCAACAACAAACCCAAAAAAAAAGGAAAAAGTTTAAAAATTGAAACGAATGACAAAGGCTGTTTGAACTGTGTAACGATTTTTTTGTGTAAAGATTACTCTTTTTGAGTTATGACGATTTGATAACTTTTTTTATGAAGTTACATATGTTAGTTTATTTTTAACGACTGATGTGGTAATATTCATCTAATCTTTATTCATTAAAATTTATTCACTAAAATGTCACGATTTTTTAAATATGTCAATTTTGAAGGAAGTGATATATAATTACTCGATCGATTCGCTCTTAATACCTACACAGCGCGATATTTATTCGCATATATAATAATTAAGTTACGAAATCGCCGTTACATGATAAATTCATCGTGTGTCCTACGTTTACATCGAGTCACGAAAAGAGACGGGGATGTGAAAACTCGATGTTTAAATACCGATTTACGCCATCTGAACCCAGTGTCGCTTGAAAAATTGTTTCCAATACGAGAGACGCCCGCGTACCATACAAGTAGCTTTCCGGCGGGGGGTAGGCACATAAACATACCTCTCCAACAGAGAACGCAGAGAAATTTACGATTTCGCATAACGGACGAAAGACCGTTTTCCACGTGCGCGATACTCGTTCGCGGTTATTGCGACCCAAGATCACGGTCAGGCGGGATAACGCTAGGCTTTCAAACGATCGGCGTACTGTTTGCAGAATTTATGTTCAACGCTTGTCTTGTTTACGTGGTAGGTTATTATAAATCATCAATCCCGATTCACCCGATTGACAATTTTTTTTACGAATCCATTGTGCTTTGCTGCTCAATCGATGATTTCTTTACTCTCTAAATCTGAATCAGTGAATAATCACTGATATCAGTGCCATATGCCACTGGTAGTGAATTTCAGTGAATTAAATATGAAATCCCTAATTTAGCTAATCTTTATTATGTGATCTAGCCTTGTTTTAGTGCTCATTCAATGAATATTGGAAGATTGAAATTAACGTGCAAATGTCAGTATTTTAATTGTATTATGCTCAAACAGCTTCTTTCTTTTTGTAGTTGAACTTCACTGATTATCAATGCTAAGTATGCCACTGGTTAATTAATGATTATCCACTGATTCAGATTTAGAAAATATTGATTACTGATTTTGTTCAGATTCTTAGGATATTTAAAACTTTTCTATTATAATTGTACTCAAAAGGTATGAATCGCAAGAGGATTTCATTCTCTATAATTATATACTCGCTCGTTATATTTCTTATATATATTTTCCTTTTTGTAAATAATTCCTTTTATGAACTGATTGAATTTCAATGCTTAAGATATGAATAGCTTTTGGAAGCTTTTAAACACTACTTTTTATATTTGTTAAAAAAAATTAACATTTTTCTCAACTTCCCGGAGCTGACGCTAAAGTTTGTAAGATTGACTACATCACGTTTACATCAAAAGACCTTTATGCGACCTGATCTAATATATTATATCCCAAAGTACACT